TCCGTCTTTCCCTTCCCCTTCTTATTTCCTTCTCTCCCTCTTTCTTTCCCTCTTTCCCGCTTTCCCTCCTTCTTTCCCTCCTTCTTTCCCTCCTTCTTTCCCTCCTTCTTTCCCTCCTTCCTTCCTTCCTTCCTTCCTTCCTTCCTGCCTTCCTGCCTTCCTGCCTTCCTGCCTTCCTGCACAGATCTGTGTGTTCCCTCCCGCCAGCTAGCAGTTCAAAACAGTCCAGTGGCACCTTTAAGGCCAAGGTGTATTCAGGTACAAGCTCTCCTTGTCTGAGGTCTGAAGGTCTTGGGAGGGTGCTCTGAGCCTTCTCAAGGGAACCTAAATCCAGCGTGGTGGCAGCGTCAGGTGACACCCCACCTGAGTCATGACAGAGAGGCTCACCACCTCCCTTCTCTTGACCCCCTTCTCTTTCTCTCCACGCAGAAGCCCAGATCTTGTAGCCAGAGCCGGCCCTCCTCTGGCCGGGCAGCCCCCACCCACAAGAGGGGCGCGCCGTCACTGACCTCGCCATCTGCAGCTGCTTTTGGACCACCCCCCTCCCCCTGAGTGATACACACCCGTGCCGAAGGAAGGATCCCGTTTGAAAGGAGCTCCTGGGCAGGACCTGCAGGGGAGGCCGCCGGGGGCGTCACTATGGACTGGGGTCCCTCCCTGCTTCTCTCCCTTGGGCACCAAAGCAGACCGAACTCTGGACAATGCTGCTTTTGGACTCTCGTCGACAGTCTCCGTCCAGCCGAGGGCAGCGAGGACTGAAGCTGAGGTCTCGGCGCCCGTCTCTGAGCCTGGCAAAAAGGCATCGGTGCCAGTGGGCGCTGGCACAGGCAGGGGCGAAAGGACAGTCGCTGCCGCCCCCGCTGACCGAGGCCTGCGTCCAGCACCAGCCCCGTTCCCCACCCACCCTTTGCAGCTACACTGTGACTCTTGGGGCAATGGAAAGGGTTGTCGTCCCCCTCCCCAAGGCCCCATCCAGGGCAGCGTCATTTCATAAGCAGTCTTTGCCGGAGCCCAGTGCATTGTGGGAGTCCTCCCCCTCTAGCCGGTGGGAAGGGTCAACCAAAGGGATAATCGGGGTGTTGTGTGTGTGTGTGTGTGTGTGTGTGGGACTCTGTGTCGTGTGCGTATGTGTGTGAGTGCATGCACCTGGTTGGGGTGGGCCTTTTCCAGCCTAGAAACTGACTTCCGGGTTTCCGTGTGTTCCACAGTCTTCCTTGTACAGGTCGCGGCGAAGACGTTAGCATCCTTCGGTCGAAGCAGGTCCGGTTTCCTTGAGTTCATCCCCAAGCGAAGTTGGGGCTGGAGGGCGGGACCCCGACCAGACTGGGAGAGCTCTGCAGATGCGGGGAACCTGCCCAAGGACCCCCTCGGCGTCCACGTGCTCAGATACGCCGCGTTTTGCAAATGACAGAGGGCCGGGCCTGGGGAAGAGCTACCCCGTGGGAGGACAGGCCACGCCACGTGGCAGTCCCCTGGGAGTCGGGGCCCTGAGCCAGCCTCTGAGAGCGGCATGCAAGGAGCCCAGGATCAGCCATCCCGCTGGTCTCCTGGTGATGGTGGGAAGTGCTCTCAAGTTGCAGCTGACGTACGGGCGACCCTGGAGGGTTTTCAGAGGAAGAGACATTCGGGGGGG